GGTCTTTCATATTTGTACCTCCCTTTGAAATATCAAGCCACTTCTTTAAGTGATAACGGGTTAGTAGGTATTAACCTTCAATTATTTCTTCAAGAAAAGAGGCTTTGGTATTCTGTAAGACTGGGGCTATCTCAAGCTTTAGACCAGTGGTTCTCAACCAAGGACAATTTTGCCTCCCCAGGGGGATATTTGGCAATGTCTGGAGACATTTTTGGCTGTCATAACCGGGGAGGGGGAGAGGATGTGTGTTACTGTCACCTTGTAGAAGTCTGGCTGCTATTTAACTCCTGCAATGTACAGGACAGTCCCCACAGCAAAGAATTATCTGGCCCAAGATGTCAATGGTGCCAAAGTTGAAAAATCCTGCTTCAGATCCTTAAAATACACTCTTCTACTGGGGAAGAAAATACCAAGCCCTGCCAGCAGGGGGAGAACCATACTACAAGGCAGTGGTGCTGCTCTGCTTGCCAGAGATCCCACAGAAGGGTGCAACCCCTTTCTGGCAAATGTCTTGTCTTGAAAAGTTGGGCTCTGGCCCTGGGAAAACTGAAACTGGGGAATGGGTCCTCAGGTCACATAGACTTTAAAAGTTTTCTAATTAAGAAAAAAATTACTCAGTATTAAAAAAGAAAGCAAACATAACAGAAATTACAGAAAGAGTTAGAGCTACCTATAATCCCAATACCCAAAGATGATTGCTAAGACTTTGGTGTGTGTTCCTCTAGGCTTTTCCTATCCATATACTATCATTCTATCAATACAAAAAGGAGGAGGACATGATATACTTTGCCACTTTTTTCTCCCTCATAATGTATCTTGCACATGTATTCACACCTAGCTGTACGGTATTACATCGTATAGATGACTGTCTTATTCAATCAAGTCCTTACTGACAGATATGTGGGTTACCTCCAATGTTTTGCTATTACAAAGACCATAACACTGAATAACCTTTTACTTTGTCCTTTGTACACTTGTGAGGCCTCTAAATTCTGTGAAGTGTAAATGCTAAGTTCAAAGGATATGTATATTAAAATATATCTGTATTATAAATAAAAAGTGTCTTCATTATTCACATATTCGTTAGCCAAGTCCTTGTAGCTAATCAGTTGTACAGAGCTACAAAAGTCATCACAGGAAAACATTCATTAATGAATGGACTACTTAAAAAATTAGTCCCTCCTTGCTTCCTAAAGTTTCTGTCCTACAGTGTCTGTCCTACCCATTCTAGTCTGTTAGCCTCCAAATGATTATGTTGTAAGCATATGGCAAATGACACAAATAAAATGCAGATTAATTGCAATAACTGAAAATCTTGCAAAAGACGGTGGATTTGATGAACTTGATAAACAATGACAGAAAACTGCTCAAATCTCAAGCAAAGCCACTGAAAAATGTGGATCTGGCTGACTTGGACCAGTTAACAATAAATGGAAAAGTGACAAGGTGATCAGCAATAGACACTTATATCAAAAGATTGAAGTCCTTAGGAAAACTGAGGGAGACCTCATTTTTGCAAAAACTACCACTAAGATTATGCTGAAAAAAATCAAATGGGAAAGATATTGTATGATACTTAACGTTGTTTCACTTGAAAACCAAACATGTGATTCATTCTTTGTTCATTATCAGAATACGTTTGAAATTATGAATGCTTTTATAATTTTTAGTTTTCATGATAAAAATCCCAATTAGACTCCCTCTCTCTTGTAATCCCCACCATACGCTATGAAATTTTGGTTCCTATTTTAGTGGATTCACTTCAGGTAAGGTTTTTCCGGTGTCAACTCTCTCCTTGAGCTAATCAGGCCCTTCACTATTAGAAGCATAGAAGGAAAGTTGTGTCATAGCACTCATGCCTGGTATGTGAAGGCAAAATATTTCCTATAACTGTCTGATCTTTACAGGGGCTGATGTATCACATTTGACAACTGGGTGCCTTTTCTTTTACCCCTTTAAGAAGTCACTGAGGACAAGATGAAGAAAAGAGTCTGTGCTCGGTTTGTCTTCCTATCACTGCCATCATTCCCAACTGCCAGGCAAGGACCAAATAGCATAGGACAAAAAAATCCAACTGCATGCCCACAGGCTGTGTGCCTCACAATCTACCCTGGGACACCTGTCAGCATTCCTAGGCCACTAAGAAAGGACGTACACAAACACAGACCCCGAAAACAGCTGAGACCTTATGGCCCTTTAATCCTGTGATGCAAATAAAAATGTACTTTCTACAGATAGTATTAGAATGTCAAAGCTGAAAAGAAACCAAACATCTACTTAAACAAACTTCATTTTATAGATGAGGAAACTGAAATCCTAGGCCAGGGGTCGGCAAACTTCTTCAGTAAAAGAATAAACAGTTTAGACTTTGTAGGCCATATGGTCTCTGTCGCAACGATTCAACTCTGTCATTGTAGCACTAAACAAGCCATAGACAATATGTAAACAAACACATAGTTGTGTTCTAATAAAACTTTATTTACGAACAATGAAATTTGAATTTTACATTATTTTTCACACGCTGCAAAAATATTGGTCTTCTTATTTAAACCATTTAAAAATGTAAAGACCATTTTTCGTGGGATTTAGCCCTTGGCCACAGTTTGCTGACCCCTGTCCTAGGTCACTCTGACACCCAAGTGTAGTAACACCAGGCTCATTGTGTTATACCTTTATTTGTTCTTCGCTTTACCCATTCACATCAAAGACTCAGATCGGCTTCACCATTAAGTGTACAACTAAGGAGCTCTATGAATGTTTTCTAAATTTCAGGAGAAATATAAAGATCTGTCAGAAGCATATGCTGGGTCACAGTTGAAAGAACTTTGATATAAAGTCATATTGTACACTGAATACAATCAAGAGAAAAAATAATAAAATTGAGAAACTCACTAAATTTGAAAAATAGGCTTTATTTTATTTAACCAGTGGTATTGTATGACATCCTATATGGCATAATTGATTACAGCCAAGTTCATGAATACAAATAAAATAGAAGTTTCCCTCATTCTCTCTTTTGTTTTCTGTTCAGAGAAATCAGGAGATGGGAGCATTATGCTCAGAAACCAAGGAGCTTTTCCACAGGCCCCAGCTGAGTCCAGGCTCCTTGGAGCATTCAGCGTCCCAAAACATATATGGTCACAATTGCAAAGACCTTTATGAAAAAATATTCAGAGCAGTATTTCTGGAGGAAATCACACTAGCATTTACAACCAAACATGGCTGATAAAATTCATCTTTCTGTGGATTGTGAGGATTTGAACTGCTTATCAAGGAGATGAGGCCTTTGCATTCATTTTCTTTTAAAGAGGGGGAGAATCCCAGGTGAGGTGTGATCACCATCAGCCTGCCTCCTTCCTTCTTGCTCCAGTTGACTCGGGAGTCCTACCCTGTTCCTCCGGAGTGCACGTATCACTGCACTGTGACAGAGAAATGGAAACACCTTGGCCCAGATACATGATTTTGTCACACAGCCGACACTGGAAGTGGCTTTACACTTTCTTGTTTCACAAAAGATTTAAATATATGGGCCCTTATGTAGCACAAGATGCCTGAAATTCAGAAAATTACGAAAACTCTTCTCCACCCCTGAGGATATTTCATCTTTATAAAGTTGAAAATACAAAATAGTAAAATAATTTGCCCTTTCTCCCCATCAAAAGGAATCACATTCTCAAAGGATTCCTGCAATATACAAAATTCTGAAACAAAATTTATTTCTCCCTAAACCAAGACCAAGAAGTCAATGTTAAGCTGCCAAGAAGACCCTTTTCCAAAGAAGGGTAGAGAGACACCTTATTACTTTTTTTTAAATAACCATATTTAAACAGAGATAGCAAAAGGAGTTTCTGGCCTCATAAGCTTTGATTTTTCTCTCTGATTTTCAGCACTTCTTAGCATTGGTTACTGGGAGCGAAGAGAACAACTTGTCTTCCAAAGTCTGAGATATTCCTGGGAAAAGCCCTGATCTTTCCTGCGATGGCTTCCCAAAAATAGTTGAAAACCAGATGGCAAGAATGAAAATGCTATACATCCATCCTTTCCATTTCTTCATAATTTTCACATCAAAAGCACCTGGAGTTTCAATTGTGTTCAATACAAAATAGAACTGGGGGCTTAAGAGAAGATGATGTTACCTGCCCATAGCATCAGCCAAGGTGACATGGGTTCTGAACTACCCAAGAAGTCTTCACTGGCAGACTTGCTTGGCACCAGGGCCTCCCCCCACAAAAAAAAATTTAAAAAAATAAAATAAAAATAAAAAATAAAAAAAAAGGTGACATGGTTCTGAACTACCCAAGAAGTCTTCACTGGCAGACTTGCTTGGCGCCCGGGCGCCCCCCCCCACAAAAAAATTTAAAAAAATAAAATAAAAATAAAAAATAAAAAAAAACCAGGACAAGCAGCTGTGCATGCTCAAATAGCAAGACGTGCAAAACACATCGTCACTCTGCCAGAAAGAAAGAGCACACAGGAAGTACACTGACAGCAAGAACCAACTTCTGGCTACTGGGGCCAATACTCAAGAAACCTCTGCACTGAAAGTGGGGGTAAGCAGAGAAATGGCAACAACACCTGGGGGGTGAGGAAGAAAGAGAGAGAAGCACATATACGCATGCTCACACATGCACACATGGTGCCTCTGAAGGCTCCCTGGTTCACGAGTGGCCGTCCGACAACCTACTTGCCTGGCTCAGAACTTCATCTGCTGCACTCTCTTAACTATCTACACTTTCTTCTCTCCTTTTAAGGCACAAACATATTACAGTTTCAGATACACCTGCTGAGTTCTGAGAATCATACTAAGCAGGTTAATCTTAGACTAGTGCACAGAAGCCAGTTGGTCCTTTTTGGCTGTACGGATCACTGAGGGACGGCTTCAGATGTGAAGCGGCCAGTAGGTGTGAGCCTTCTCTCTGTGCCACTGTGGGATGTGGTCAAGTCTACCCACCATAGTTAAGGTGGGGCCACAGGAGAGGCCAAAATGGTAAAAGCATGACTGGGATCTGGGACGTTTAATATTTTTTACTTTGCATTTAATAAACCCTAAAAAGATGGCAGTTCTTGCCTGCCTGAGCTGACTCACAAAGAAGAGCCACCAGAGGCTGCCACGGAGCATCTGTAACTCCAAAGTAATGTCGCTGTGATCACAGTTTGCTCATACTCTCTTACCCTCCCACAAAGACAGACACGCACATACACTAACACATGTGTGCACACACGCGTGCACATACACACACACAAACACACCCCTCTTCCACCATGGAGGAAATCTTTGCAACAAGAGGCACTTGAATGATATTTGGAGAGTTCCTGTGAAAAGGCCTTCCCCTCACAGTGAAGTGGGATCAACAGAAAAGAAACCAGGTGCTCAGGATTCCATCTCTTCTTGGTCAAGGGGTGGTGGCACAAAGCTGATGACTTCATCGTAGGTCAGGCCTAGAAATTGGGAAGGAAAAGTAGGATGTGAGAGTTTAGACTATTCTCTTTGCTAGCAAGCACTGTAATTTCTAAGCTCAAGATCCTCCTCCCTGTCGAGGCTAGTGGTTTGATGGGCTCCTTCATTGCTTGTGTGTGATAACCTAATGGATCATGTGATTACACAGAAGTTCAAAAATACATATGAAAGAACCATTTTTTATGTTTCCTTAAAAAAAGCTGCTTTATGGACTTAAGTAGCAAATTTTTAAAAAGTTAACATGTCGATCTATTCAAAATTATGATTTACGTTATTAACACAATGACAACCGCATGTGTACAGTTAACATTGCATACATACTGTATACCAATAAAAGTAAATATCCAGGGGGAAAAAACATTTTTTAGTTTCTTTCATCACTCAGTGCCTCCTCTGTAAAGCTCTCTGGAGAAGGTGCTCAAGAATAACAAAGTACTCCCGCAAGTTACAGCAACAGATATATAATCCTGGCCTTTGGAAAATAACTGGAGTTCTGAATTTGTGTTTTATGAAAAGAATATGAGATTGGACATAGGAGACATAGGTTCCATTTCTGGCTGTGTCTCTAACTAGGTCTAAGGTAACAGATATGATATAAACTCTTTCTCCTAGTTCTACCAATTGTAAAACTGAAAAAACACCTTATTCTCTATTTAGCTCAGAGAGATGTTGTAAATGCAAAGACTCTGAGAACCTCTTAGATCTATTCAGATGTGAGGGGCTGTACTCAAAGTCAGACCAGACAGAAGCATCTTAAAGGTCCAGAGAGTGTCATCACGTACAAGTTTCCATCAGAGGAACACATTCATTCTGCTTTAGAGACCTGAATTACAAGTTTTAACGAGTTAGTTACAGCCAGAAATTTTATTTTTCCCACAGCTTTTGGTTAGTGGCTCACCTAGGAAAGATTTTAAAATCTAAGTCCTCAAGCTAGATTTTAATCCTGCCTTTATGACTTACTTTTCCATTCATCTATAAGGAGGTCCCTGCTTTCAAAGGATTGATCGTAAGGATCAGCCACTGGTTCGTCATCAGGATCATGATACTGAGCAAAGTAGGCATGTGCGAGGGCCTGGGCTGCAGTGATTCTCTTATCTGAGTCCAATACAAGCATCTTCTCCAGCAAGTCAACAGCTATTAGTACCACGAATTGGAAGAAAGAAGAGTTTTTAACATGTTACCAAAAAATTATGCCTTATTAAGCAAACATACAGTTTTGACCCTTCAAACCTAAACAAAGAATTCTCCTCCAAAGTGTCTGCTCTAGAATATAGTACCACTTTTCTCGTGTGTGTGTGTGTGTGTGTGTGTGTGTATGTGTGTGTGTGTGTGTGAATGGATGACTTTTGTACTTTTTAAGAATACGTTACTGAAGAATTTTTAAAAGTAACTGAGATTCTGTTTGAATGAGCTTTTGTAGAATGTCAATGTCCAACTGTTACCACTGTTGTCAAACTGTGTCAAAACAAAAGCCTTTAACTAAACTGGAAGAGGTAAGCAGGGCCAGCTTTGGATTTTTCGATTCTTCTGTCCCCCTTCACTGTTGATTTACTAACATTAGGCAAATAAATATTTATCAAACGGGACTTCAAACGATGGACAAATTGAGGGTTTCACATGGGTGTGGGGGTGAGAGACATGGTATTTGGATAAAATGGTGTTTTATTTTTAAATTTTTCGCTATGAAAAATTTAAATATATAAAACAATACAATGAATACTCATATACCCACCACCTATGTCCAACAAATAACATTTTATATTTCTTTATCTATATGTATATGTAGTTTTTACTGAACCATTTAAAAATAAAATTATAGACATGATACTTTACCCCTAAAAATTTCAGCATAAAGACATCTTCTTATACAATCACAAACTGTTATATCCAACAAATAAATAATTCCCAAATATCATCTCAAATCCAGTTCAAGTTAAAATTTCTCCAATTATTCCAAAGTTGTCTTTTGCACCTAGTCTGTTCAAACCAAAATCCAAGGAAGGGCCATACGTTGCATTTGATTGGGTTTTTTAGTCTCTCTGCATCTAGAATAATTCCCCGCCTCTAACTCCTATTTCTTCCTAACTTTGACCTCAAAGACTGTCCAGTTGTCTTGAATGTACCCATCATTAGGGATTTGTCTGATTGCTTCTCTCTGCTATCATGTACCTACATCCTTGTTTTCTTTTACCCCTTGTATTTCTTGAAAACCATGTTAGATCTAAAAATTTGGTAACAACTGGGTTAAACATTTTCGGCAAGAATATTTCATAGGTGATTTTATGTACTTGACAGTGCATTATGGCAGTTTGTCCTATTATTAATGATGCTAAATATGATCACTGGATTTTTTGTCCTAAACAACTAACCAGTAGGATACTTTGGCATCACATGAATATCACCAGTTCCTTTTACTTAAGGCTTTTATCATCCACTGATTTTCCTTCACAGCAAGTATTTCATTAGAGTTCACAAATGGTGATTTTTCTAATTCTTTCCAATAAAGATGTTTTGAGTTTCAGAATGACGGTGGGATAAATAGCCAGGACCACGGGTTGAAACAAGGCTTTTGAGGCTTTGCAAATTGCCAATGGTTCCTTAAATGTGAAAAGACATGTGGAGTGAAGGGGAAGACAGTTTCCTAAAGAGATCTACTGCTGTGTACACTGGAGGTTGTAAATGACTCCTGTCCTGCAGCTTGAATTCCAGAGTAATACAAAGGAGAAATGTGGCTTTCAAAGGGATATAGAAACACGGTGGATATTTATGTGTCAATTCAAGTTCATAAGTTTACATTTTAAAGCACGGGGAGAACTGCCTAGACATGCCATGCTTTCTTCTCTTCTCGGAAAAAGAAAAACTTATCAGCTGTTGTTTGAATCATATGGTGAGTCTTCGCCACCCTTGGGTAAAAAGTACCATGTCCTTACAACCAGTACTTTGATAAGGAGTAAGGTCGGGGTAAGAAAGATTCTTCTAAGAGCCTGACATACACAAATACAAACACTACATCAAAGGGCAATCTAAGTTTTAATTCATGTTTTGAGATAATGGTGAAATACAAAGTTAGTGACAGACAAAACAGATGTCAATGTTTACATTATTGGTGTATTCCTACTCAGTTAATATGCTGGGTACAAGTTTGTGGTCAGTAACACCATGTTTTCAGAAGTCTGCAAGAAGACACTCTTTATATGACATCACTTTGGCAGTGGGGTGTTAGGCGTGTTTAAATTCTGAGAACTGTGGTGCTGAGCACCAGATGGCCCAAAGCCTCCATTCAATTCACTTGCAGTTTGTATTGCTAAGTGGTATTTAGTTACTTTGAACATATAAATGTCATGATTCCAGTGAAGAGGACACCTATTAGGATGGATGTGACCTAAATAAGCTGCTGGGACACAAACATATCCCCCATTCCCCAGAAAAATGAATGAACAAATCTGAGTTGGCTAACAGGAAGTTAAACAGTAAGCCCTGTCACGTGTAAAACAAGCTGAAATAATGAAAAAAAAAAAAAAAATTCAGAACGGAATGACAGACAAGAAAGCTACCACCATAATCAACATTTCCCAAATTCAATATTGGAATACTTATGACTCAAAGGGAGCTTCTCATAGATCCTTGAACTAAATAATGCAGCTCAAATAAATTATACAAAGACAATGAGAACACACCAGGGTAGATGCAAACCTAAACCAACTCTGGTAGAATTCTGTATACCCCTGATGAGTGTGTGGATTCATTTCTGGTTGTGAGAGTGACCCAGCTGAGATCTGACAAACTCTCCATCTCCAAGGCTGCCATGGACTCATCCATAACCACCCAACATTTCAAAGAGCATGAACATCTCTGCTGTTATAAGAATTATCACAGTGGCACTGAAATCACTGTCAACAATCATTATGGATGGAGTAATTAAAAAAGTAAAACCACTTAGCCTTCACTCCAGCTTCTGAAGAGGTTCTCCTGGCTGTCAGCCCTCAATAGGATAAAACTAAACCTGAAGCACAGCTGCTGGGACCCTTGAGCAGAGGGATGACCCACTATAATACAATCTTCAGAAAAGTGAGAAGGTTGATTATACTATTATCATAGCATCGCTTCCCTCCCTGTCACAGGGAGGCCGTGCTCTGATTTTTCTATGTCCGCTGTTAAATAGCACTGTGCACTGTACTCTCAAGTCAGGGAATTAGAGCCTCAGGCAATGCCGCTGTAAAGGGGCCAACTGAAGCACACATCAGTCCCAGCTTTAAGGAATAAAGCAACTCCTTTTTAGCCAAGGTAGTACATATCCTGCAGCTGCCCTGACATGTCCCTTTGCCAAGGATCCAGAAGCGATGCTGGCAGGAAGGAATATGGTGCCATTTCTTAAAGTCTGAGGTGGCAAACTTGCTCCACAAAGAGAGAATGGTTAAGTCTCTGCTGAGGATGACAGGACCTATAGCATTGGGAAGCTACGAGCAGGGCAGGGCACACTGCAGAGAGCTCTTGGGTGGGTCCTCAAAACACCCATCTGTGATTCAGTTGTTCTTACCCTCAGCTTGGGACATCATAACACAGCAGTTGTGAACAAGTCACAGGCTTTCAAATCCCTAATTTATGTCATAACCAATTTAATATCCAGGAGATGAGGATACGGTCAACTTACCCAAGGGATTGGCACCAATAAATACATTTGCAAAGTTCATCTTCGGCATCTGGGTCAAAGACTGAATATAGTTTCTTGCCTGTAAAAACAAAGAGTTTTCAAAATGGCTTGGTTCAATAATGTCACTGCTCTCGAAGAGTCTTGGTCCTGTCGAGGGACAAGCATTAACTGACAAAGTCTGCTGGCTCCAGTGGTTATGACTGTCTTTGATATGCATTAAGTATTTCTCTCTTACTGCCATCCTAACTTCTTATTTATGATCACCAACTTT